ACCCTAATCTGATTCTCCAAAATTGACAAGGTAAAAGTTCAAAACACAATTGGAGACTCAAGTAGGATCGAAGTGGAAGGTGAGGAAATGGCGAGGGAGTCGATAAACGGTAAAAAACTGGTTGGAGAGGCTCGTCGGAGTTTCTTCTGAAGCTCGTCGGAAGCTCACTGGAAATTTCCTCGTCGGAAAAAAGTTGAGCCAAATCCCTCCAAAACTTTGGCGAAGGGGCGCCCAGACAAGAGGAGTTTGGGTCTAGTTTTGGTTTTGGAAAAAAACAGCCGAAAATCGACGAACTTGACGAAATACAGATTGAAATCACGATTTTCCTGCGAGATTCAGAGGATTCTAGTGAAAACAGGTTTGTGAAGAAGGGGGGTTCACGGTCCCCTTTTATAGGAAGATCCTGAGGTTCATGGACGGAGGTCAATTTTTACAGTCGTTAAGACTGTGAAAATAACTCATCAACCGTGATCTCTTCGGCAAAAACGGTTAGTTTTGGCAAAGTGGAATTTCCCTTCGGGATCACAGTCTTCGCCTCATTATCATGGTCCAACGACCGTGATAATAGAGCTAAAACCGTGAACTGATGAAAAATAGGGCATTTTCCAAATTTTCAAGACTCGATCTAATCAACCTTGCCCGTAACTCAATCACAAAGCATTCAATCACACAACTCTGGCATGGTGATCACCATTCAACCACTTGAACTGATCACTCGTTCACAAAATGAGAAAATAAGGAAAAGAAAACAAACCTACATTGGGTTGCCTCCCAACAAAAGCTAGTTTAACATTGCTAGCTTGACATTGAGAATCTTTCATGCTTGAGAACACAAGGCCTCCGAGAGTGGATCCACCACGGTCTCGGGGCAAGGCTTATCACCTCCCATCTTAATCTCCAAAGGACGTCGCTCTTGGTCGGGCACTATCACCTTACCTTTATCCTTATTTTGGGTAAAGGCGTGACTCATCTTTGCACGCCACGCTTTCTTTTTCCTTCGTTGGGTTTGGTGCCCGCCTTGGGTCCCTGTTTCACATCATCATAAGGAGCAAGAGCACTAGTGGGGTTCGTCTTGAGTGGCTCACCTCCACTTTCAAACATACCATCCGATTCCAGTTCCTTAACATCATCATTCTTATTCTTAGGATCAAACAAAAAAGTAATTTGCTCCTCTCCATCTCTCAAGATCAAAGTACCCTCATTAACATCAATTAAAGCCTTGGCGGTTGCATGGAAAGCGCGTCCTAGTATGAGGGACATATCCGCATCTTCACTTATGTCAAGGATAATAAAATCCGTCGGATAATAAAATGTGCCCACCCTCACTACGTCTTCCACAATACCCCAAGGGCTAATCACTGAGCAGTCAGCCAATGTAACACTCAACCTAGTGGGTTTTAATTCACCTAGGTTCAATTTCTTGTATAGTTTAAATGTCATGACATTAATGTTTGCTCCCAAATCCGCAAAGGAATTTTCTATATGTCATGTTCCGATGCAAAGAGGGATAGTGAAACTACTTGGATCTTGTTGCTTTTTGGGCAACTTGTTCTGAATGAAGGTCGAGCACTCCTCTTCCAAGGTGATGGTTGCGAGATCTTCAAACTTTTGCTTCTTAGCAAGAAGCCCCTTTAGGTATTTGTCACACCTTGGCATGTAGGTCATAGCCTCCAAGAAAGGAATTAAAATGTGGAGCTTCTTGAGCATCTCCATGAACTTTCCACACTCCGCCTCCAATCGGTCTTTGTGCACCCTTGTAGAGAAAGAGAGAGGAAGCTCGTACTCAGCCAATAGTGGTGGCGTTGGTGCCTTCTTAACCTCTCTGCCCTCTCCTTCCAAGAGTTCTAGTTCATCGACCTTTGGAGGGGCATTTTCTTCTTCAATTACCTCCTTAGCAACAACCTCCGGAGTTACCTTCCTGCTCCTCAAGAGAATAGCATTGCAATCGCCATTTTGATCTTTGGGGTTGGCAATAGTTTGGGAAGGTAAAGCTCCCATTGGCCTCTCGGTAAGGATCCCGAAAAGAATTTCGATTTGATTCTCCAAGTTTTGAAGACTTGCTTAATGGCTCCTTAGACCCCCCTTAACCGAAGTAAACTTGTGTGTTGCTACATCCATGAATTGCTCAATCTTCTCGAACTTCTGTGAGCTTGTACTCACAAAGGTGGTAACTAGGTCTTCAATTGTTGTTGTTGGAAGTTTGAACCTTGGAATTGGGGCCTTTGTTGAATGAAAGGAGGCCTTGGTTGATAGTTCCCCGTTGGACCTTGGAATCCGGGGGTCTTGGATTGGTCGGGGGAAGACCAAGCGAAGCATGGATGGTTTCGCCACCCCGGATTGTAAGTATTGCTATAGGGGTTGTTGTTGTTGTTTCCCCTAGCATTGGCAATGAAGCTTATTTGCTCTTTCGGGGGGTGCTTCCTTCCTTCATCAATTGGCACTCTGCAATCTCATAGTTGGTACTCGAACACCAATCACACGCCATCACTAGCTTCTTCCCTTGCTTCTTATCCTCAAGAATTGCAGTTATCAACTGGTCGATCTTTGTAGCAAGCGGAGGACTCGCTTCAGTGGAGTGTACTCCTCTCTCGGCACCCCTTCCACCACGTCTCGTTAAACCCCAATCATACACCTTCCCCGCCATATCTTCAAGCAAAGCGGTCATCTCGAGTGGAGTCTTGTTCATCAAGTTCCCTTGACATAGTGATTCAATGATAATCGTGTCTTCTTGGAGAAGACCATCGTAGAAGGTTTCAATCCGAAACTTCTCTTTAAACCCGTGATGTGGGCATTGGAAGAAAAGGTCAAAGTACCTCTCTCATTCATCCCTCAATGTCTCAAATTTCCTCTTGAGCCAAGTAGGTGACCTTCTTGTGCCATTATGCTACCGTGGAAGGTGGAAAATATCGGGCCATGAACTTGTTGAGAAAGTCTTCCCATGAAGTAATCGAGAAAGGTGGTCTATTATTGAACCACCAGAGTGCTTTCACCGTAAGAAAGCAGGGGAAAAGCCTCAACATCATAGTCTCTTCGAATATCTCGTTGATCTTCAAACTTCCCGCAATCTCGATGAATCTCTAGATGTGCTCCCTTGGAGACTCATCCTTAAGCAAGTGGAACTGGATATTGTTCTGGATCATTGTGACGAGGTCGGGTTTGATCTCAAAATTGTTGGCGGCCACGGGTGGATGTAAAATGGTCAGTTGGATATCCCCGCCCGTGGAGCCATATAGTAGTCTATGGTCCTCGATTCCTCATTTTCCTCTTGGGCGTTATGATTCTCTGCCATCTCGGCTTCACTTCCTTCCTCTTCCTTCGATTCAACTTCCTCCTCAACTACAACTTCTTCTTCAACTTAGGGACCAAATTGTAGTTGTCCCCTCTCCTCTATCCTTCTTCTTGCTTTTGCCATCTCCCTCTCCCGAGCCAAGAGTAAATGGTTTTGAACACTAATTGAGAAGACTTCACCCGGGTGTTGCTCCCCCTAGCTAGTGATTACGATTTGTTAAACCGAATGCAAATGTGCGATAAAAGCGGTTGTAAATCGTAGGGAAGCGCAACAAGTGAACAAGCTTCACTCTCTCGGTCACTAGGCCAAGGGATATCAAATCAAGCTACTAAAGTAGCTCTCTTGGCCAGTCAACTGAGGGTTGCTTAGACTTCTCCCTCGAACCGTAGTCCATATGGCCAAAATACAACCTACCCAAGGTGCTAATACATAGTATGAGGTTTGCTCTAATTCGACCTAAGTAGGTGATTCAATTTAGCCAATGAATTCCAACTTGTGAAAGCCTCTTAACAACAAAGAGGGAATTTCCCTCTACCTAGGTCAAATTGGCATAAGAGTTGGAAATAAAAAACACAACACAAACTTCATGAAAATACCTCAATACTTGTATTAAAACACAACCACACACAACTTATTTAATTCATACAAACATTGACATAATTTTAGCTAGGGTTCACAAACACACAAATGAAAGAAAGGACTACTTCATGCTAAGATGTGAGAATACACAAAGGAGAAGAGAAGAGACCATCATAAGAGGGTTACCTTCTTCATTTGGTGAGAAGATCAACCTTGGAAGATGAGATTCCCAAATCTTAGAGCTTGGATGAAACCCTAACCTTCTTCTCTTCTCTTTTTCCTCACTTTCTCTCTCTAGAAATTTGAAGAAGAAGTTTTCTCACACTAGGCTCTCCCCTTCTTTCCGTTCAAATCCCTTTTATACCCAGATCGACGGCTTTTCACAGTCCCAGTTCACGGCCATGAACTCTAAGTCTGGGTCGTGATCCTGAGCAAAAGCGCGTCGTTCCATTAACGATCTTCACGGTCTGGAGCGGATTATCATGGTTGACCGCGAGGTGGAAAAACTTCTCTGGACTCCATGCACTTCACGGTCCCTGCCCGACCGTGAACTTCTGGCCTCCACCGTGAACCCCAATTGACTGCTACCTTTTTATCCGTTTTCGCCCCTTTTCGTCCAACTTTCTTTCCCGTGGTCGATTCCACCTGTTAGAATCTGAGACATACTAAAAAAAACGAGCACAACCTAGTATAAAATCGAATCTCACGAAGTAAAAATGCCTCAAACATCTAAGAAAATGGGGTAAAATATGTACAATTAGATCCGAATTAAGAGTCCATTATCCAAACCAACCCTAGATCCGAATTAAAATATGTACTATATAATCAACGATGTGGTCAAAAGTAAATGGGCTGGGATGACAGGGTTCTCTGTCGGCTCACGTATCCGTTGAACGAACAGATCATCCTTCTTCCCGACTTTCCTTCAACACCTTTCCTAATCACAGGTGAGAAAAATATCTTTGACTATTCCTCATACAGAAATGGATCCGATTCGTCAAACTAGTCCTCAACCATGGCGGCGCAAAGCTGACCGGAAAATGATTCAAAATACAACAACACCATTGCTTACGAGAAACTCTTCTTCTTCTCCGACCTTCCAACAAACCAAAATTCTCCCCTCGCAATCACCATGCCTCCGAAACCCCTTCCCTTCTTTACCACTGCATTCTTCCTTCTTCTCCACTCTTCCCTCTTCACCCCATCATCATCACTCGATTTTATCTTCAACGCCGACTTCAACTCCACCAACATCCTCACCCTCGGCAACGCCACAGTCCGCCCTTCGCCGCCTTCCATCCTTTCCCTTACCGAAGCCACCCCTTTCTCCCTCGGCAGAGCCTTCTACCCTTCTCCACTACCCACCACCACCATAACAACGCAACCCAATGCTTCACTCCCTTTCCACACTTCGTTCATCTTCTCCATCGTTCCCCCAACCAGGCCCCTTCTCCCGGGCCACGGATTCGCCTTCCTCTTCTCCCCGTCCGCCGGAATTCGCAGCGCCATCTCGTCTCAGCACCTGGGTCTCTTCAATTTGACCAACGACGGCAGCCCCAGCAACAGGGTTCTCGCGGTGGAGTTCGATGTGTTCATGAATCAGGAGTTCAACGATCTCAACGACAATCATGTGGGCGTCGATGTGAACTCGCTGACTTCGATTGCGCAGCGGGAAGCTGGGTTTTGGAGAGGGGATGGAGGTTTCGAGGAGTTGATGCTCAATAGCGCGGAGAATTACCAGGTTTGGATCGATTATGTTGATTCCAGGATTAATGTCACTATGGCTAGAGCAGGGGAGGTTAGGCCACGTAGGGCTTTGATAAGCGAAGTTCTCAATCTCTCTGGGGTTTTCTCCGGCGAAATGTTTGTGGGTTTTGCGGCAGCTACAGGGCAATTGGTAGAGAGCCATAACATTTTAGCTTGGAGCTTTAGCAATTCAAATGCTTCAATTGGGGATGCTTTGATTACTTCGAATCTGCCTTCTTTTGTGCGTCCTGATCAGAGATCAGTGTTCAGATCAGTAGGGTTCATAGTTGGGACCACTGTGGTAGCTTTCGGCATTGTTGGTGGGATTTTGGTTTTTCTGATTTTGATCAGGGAAAGGAGAGGAAAGAATAAGAAGAAGGAAGAACAAGAGGAAATGGAAGACTGGGAAACGGAGTATTGGCCACACAGGATTGATTACCGAGTCATTTACGAAGCAACTGATGGTTTCAATGAAGAAAACGTAATCGGCTGTGGAGGAAACGGTAAGGTTTACAAAGGCAAATTAGATGGAGGAACTGAAGTAGCTGTGAAAAAGATCTCTCTGCAGAATCAGTACGGCCTGAGAGAATTCCTGGCCGAATTATCCAGCTTGGGCAGATTAAAGCATAGAAATTTAGTCAGCATAAGAGGCTGGTGCAAGAAGGAACAAGGCAGCTTGATTCTAGTCTACGACTACATGGAAAACGGAAGCTTGGACCAGAAGATCTTCCACTCCAACAAAGATTCTCAATCTGTCTTGACCTGGGAACAAAGAATGAAAATTTTGAGAGATGCAGCAAGTGGGATACTGTATTTACACGAAGGGTGGGAAGTCAAAGTCCTTCATAGGGACATCAAAGCAAGCAACGTGCTGCTGGACAAGGAAATGAATGCTAGGTTGGGTGATTTCGGCCTGGCCAAGATGCACAGCCACGGCCAGCTAGCCACCACCACGCAGGTGGTGGGCACGGTAGGTTACATGGCGCCTGAAATGATGACAACCGGACGAGCCACGACTCAAACCGACGTGTTTGGTTTTGGGGTGCTCATCTTGGAGGTGGTTTGTGGGAGAAGGCCGGTCGAAGAAGGGAAGCCGAGCTTGGTTGATGAGGTGCGGAAGGTAGTGATGGAGGGAAGGAATGTGGTTTCTGTAGTAGATGGAAGGGTTAGGGAGAGCAGTAGGTTTGGTGATGAGGAAGTGAAGAGGGTATTGCAGTTGGGATTGATGTGTACTTATCGTGACCCTCGAGTTCGGCCAACGATGAGGCAGGTGGTGAAAGCGCTGGAGAGAGGGAATGATGAGAGGCAGGTTGATGCGTGGGATGTTGATTTGGTTGTGAGTGGAGAAGGGAATGGAAGTAGTAGTAGTGGTGGTGTATGGTCTGGGTATCAGCATGGTTTATATGGTGCTGAACTGCCGACTCTTGATCATGTTTTGCAGTCGTTCCCATCGTCTGTTTCGCTGCTCACCTCAGATGTTATAGTCGAAGGCCGATGAAACGAGTTAGTTATGAGTGAATGGTGAATAGCGAGGTATAGTATAGCGAAAATTGCATTTGATGTCTTTCATTGTCAAACCACCAATTTCATTTGATTGGTGATATGTATATCCTTACAGATGTGTAATTCACAACTTGCAGATATCTCTTTTGTTTATGGTCTAATTCTTGTTTCTGCTCTTCATTTCTGTGCCTAAAGCCGTAACATAGAGTCAAGTAACAAATTTAGTAATAAATCAATGTCAGCGGGGATAGCTCAGTTGGGAGAGCGTCAGACTGAAGATCTGAAGGTCGCGTGTTCGATCCATGCTCACCGCATTTTTGTTTTGGATAAGCCAGAATTACTCTGAATCATCATTCTTGGAGCTGTTAAGGTTGTAGATTAGGCAATGCCTATGAGAGTATCATCCTTGAGGGTGGAGTTCTAGAGAACATCGGTTTTACTTTTGGCTACTTTTTAAAACACCTTGCAAATGGGAAAGAAACTTGTATACACCAGTACACCACCAGGGCAGAAATAAATATATCTGGTCTACACAAAATACATCATCATAAATCAAACCTTGGTTTTGATTCTTCTCCTAAAACTCTTCTGTAAACAATACAAGTATAGATTTCTCTTTTTCTTCACTCTCGCCAAATCTATGAACCAGGGGCTAATGGAGGAAGGAAGCCACACACCGGTTACCAACCGCCCACAGTAAGCGGACAACTAAGAATTGGCACTTCTCAATGTTTAAAAAAGAGATAAATCCTTCTGCATAGGCAGTCATTGTTGCCATCTGCACCATAGTGTACTGAAGCAGAGAGGGAAGGGAAGAAAAGATGTTTAAAACACTCTACTGTACAAAGAGGAGAGGTACTGAGAGCTGCTACTAACAAGCTCTTCCATGAATCAAGTTAGCTTTTCTTCTTCAAGCCTCGTTGCCCCACTGATTGCCACATTTTCCTGAAGGTTCTATTACCTCACAGGAACACCTCCTTTTCCGAGCTTTGCCTTGTCAAGCCGTCTTCTAGCAAATTCTTGTATTTGACGATCGTGCTCTTTCAGCATTTGCTCCACGTTGTTCGATGGTACGAGTAACGGACCAGATACATATATCTTGTTCCCCTTGGCCCCCCGAATATGCTGAAATTGAGGGAAATGTGAGAACTATAGCCTTGTAGAGCTTCAAGATAAGCAAAATTGATATTGAGAATAAAAGGGAACTATTTAGTGGGCATACCAGGCCAGGGTCCCGACTACCCGGTTGTTGCCCACTTCCAGCCTGAGAAGAAGAATCTGTTCCCCTTTGAGATGGAAAACTTCGGTCTTCCATTCTCGGGTAGTCTGACCTGTTTAGTGAACCATGGGCCCTACTTCCTCCTTGCTTTACTGAATCAGGCTGCGAAGTACTGGGTTTTCCCATGCGGTCTTCAGGCAATGCAGCCCTGGAAGCAACTAGACCAGACATTGTTGAGATGTTGGTGCTTCTAGCTGATGCCCCATGATGATTGTTGTCATGATGATCTCGACCAGACTTGGTCCAGCCACCATGGACCAACGGCCCAGAATGTGAAACTTTCGGACGTTGGCTTTCCATGTAACTCCGTCTTCCTTCATTTCCAGGTTGAATTTGCTTAGAGGGATGGACAAGGAGGCCAGAGAAATTTTTGTCCTTGATTGAGTGGGACATTTCGCCTTTCGAATAGGAATGACGACTAATCTGCAATTCAGAAGAAAAAGAGAGAAATGTTCATGGCAGCTACAAACTTAAAACGGGAAATTTTGTCTCAGAAAGAAACACAAGGAAACTACATGAAAAGAGACCATGATACGAGATAATAATATATTACTAGAACTGAAGTCATGAATAACAAACCCAGACCATCGTTCTGCTGAAACGGAAGGATTTGGAAATATGCATCCAGGCACTCCCAATTTTATTAGGTAGGGGAAAAAAGGAAAAAAACAAGCAAAAGGTAGTACCTGTGTTGAGGATACATCTGCATTGCCAGTAGGCCCCTTGTTAGACATTGATTCATTTGGTCCGTTCCCCTTAATGGCAGCTTGCCTTTGTCTACAAAAGTAAATACTAGTTTTACGTAACATGCACCAACAAAAGTAAATCAATTCTCCAAGAAAGAGTGTGTCAAGGGAGCTGTGCATCGCTAAGAAAATTTCGCCAGAGGACATATATCACTTTCAAGTCAACTACTTCCGTTAGAAGCCCTGTCCTAAATAAGCTACATTGAGCATTTCCTTTCAGATAACATCAGATATGAATAACTGTGGCAAGTGGAAGATGTCGAATATCAAGCAAAGATGAAATCGACAAATAAAGTGTACCTTCTAGCTTCCTCGTCACGCTTTTTAGCATCAATTTCTTTGCTGGGAGGATACTTGGGTAAACTTGAAGGATCACAAGCAAGTGGTCTTGTCGCAAAATACTGAGACAACATCAAAAAGCTTATAGTCAAGCAGGTGCATGAAAGAGGTTTCCCCACACATGTACACAAATCCATTTCCATAATCCAAATACTTAACCGCAAGCATAAACAAAAGGAAAGAAAATAACCAAGAAAGAGAAAGCTTTTACTAGAAAGCAACCATAAATCTAATAATGAACCTTAACAGGATCAACGGTAATATCATACCTCACTCTCCAGGACTAGAGCGGCATTCCCTCTCTGAACAGGATCAACGGACAGTAAGGTCTCTAAAAGCGCAAGAGCAGGAGCAGGAAATTCCTTGAATGTTTCTCCAACACATCGTTTGTATGGACGTTGGGGCTTTATTACTGAAGAATGATGAAGTTTTGATTTCTTCCAATAATCATCAGATGGTGAGCCACATAGCTTGAAGATTTTATGCAGTTGCTCAACCTACAGAATAACATGGTAAAGAGAACGTCAGTAAAGAAGCAAATTTGACAGCTGAAATATTGTAGTATTACACAACAGTATCAGACGGGCATATCAATCAGTTTCCTGAAAATCTCACCTCTGTCCTTCCAGGTAAGATAGGTTTTCCAGAATATAATTCACCAAGTATGCACCCAGTGCTCCATAAATCTACAGCAACTCCATAGTTGCAGGCCCCGAGTAAAAGTTCTGGAGCTCTATACCAAAGAGTAACAACACGGCTGGTCAATGCAGCACTGCTCTTAGGGTCAAAGAAACTCGCCAAGCCAAAGTCAGCAATTTTTAGGATGCCACTGTTATCAATCAGAAGATTCGAACCCTTGATATCACGATGCAGAACACCACGGCTATGACAGTGATCAAGTCCACTCAAAAGTTGCTTCATGTAACATTTTATCTGGAAAGAGAAAAGGTAAGAAGTCAGGGGGGCATAAGTGACGCAATCAGCCACAAATTAGAGAGCGGCATAGAACCGTTTCACAAATGATTTAGCAAAACTACCTGAGGTTCAGTGAACTTGAGTCCTGGTATTGAAGCAATTCCTGTGAGGTCGTGTTCCATGTACTCAAAAATAAGGTACAATGTTGAAGATGTTGGTGATGTTATCAGGCCTTCTAGCTTTATAACATTAGGATGATCCAGCGTGCGCAAGATAAGAATCTCACGCGCCATAAATTTGACACTATCTGGATCACTATTATCAAACCGAACTTTCTTAAGAGCAACAATCTTATCGTGAGTGACATCACGTGCCTTGTAGACGCTGCTGTAAGTTCCTTGTCCAATCTGCAAGAGAAAATCACTAGTTAATTTGAGTTCACCACGTGTACCACGCATCAAGTGTCCATTTCTGTGCTTCATTATAATTGTAAATTCCAAACATGATCCATCAGAAGATTAAAAAGAACGTGACTTCTTAATGGGGCATGTCTAAATTTCTTTTAGAAAACCATTATCAGTTTCACCATTCATTAAAAGTAAACACTCAATCCAGCTGTTCACTGATAAACTAAAGCATATATAAAGATGAACTGCCTGCAATTTTCATAAGGAATCCCTTCGCCAGAAAATCGATACAGCAATTAATTCCAGCATTGGATCAGGAAACAACATCAAGGCGAAGAAAAACAAACAGAAAACACTCCCAAATTCAAGATTGGATGAAAGAGATCATGGACCAAAATAAATAAAAAAGGTGCAAAATTGGTATCTACAACATGAAACAAAGATGAACACGCATAAAAAATATAATGTTAACTGAGATGAGAGGAACTTACTCTATCCAACTTCTCGAATGAATTCGCCTTCCGGGGAACCCAACCTTTGATCGATTCACCAGCAACTGAGACAAGCCAGGCAGGCCATCCAGCGGCAACCTGCTCAGCCTCCAAATTCTTTGGCACCCTCCCCCAAGCAGGATCGCTAAAATCCGTAATCTCAGACCTTCTCTCACTCTTGGAATAAGTTGTAGCAACAGCAGCAGAAACCTCACGTCTCGGCACCATTTTTTTCTCGATTTGATAATCTTTCGACCTTAACTCCACCATCTGATCACTATGGTACCTACTGGAACCATGATTCTTCTTCTCAATCAACATGACCTTAACTTCACCACTGTCTGATATACTCCTTGATCGACTCCCTTCATCCCTTCCTCCCGATGTATTCACATGGGCAACTCGCCTATCGAAGGACACTCCCCTACGCGATGACAACCTCTCCCTAGGGCTACCTTCCTTCGAAGCAATACACCCCATTTTTCTTCCAAATCTAGACGTCAGCTTCAGAAATCAGCTTAATCAAAATTGCCCAGATCAATGGTCTTATCTCGCTCTTCCTCACAAACGAAATTCAACAGTAGAAATCAACATGATCTGTCTCGACCAACAACAACAGCTGATCACAATCCATTTCCACAGAATTACCCAGGTGATCGAACCAATTCAAAAGTTGAAGACAACAAAGAAGGAGAATTCAACAACAACAACAACAAAGCGAGCAATCACACACCTTCAAACTTCCCCAACCAACCGCTCCGAGAACTGAAAAAAGGCGCAAACTTTAAGCTGTCAAGGTCAAGGAATCCAACAAAACAACCAGACCCAGAACGGTATATACCCTCTCCAGACTGAATTTAGAACGATTTAAGGAAAAGGGGAAGGATCCCATTACCAGTAAAACTGAGAAAGGAAAGAAGGTAGTTGTGAGGGTGGGCAAAAGGGGGGAAATTGATGATGAAATAGAGGGAGGATCGTTGTTAGTCGATGCTGGGTCCAATTGGGCAATCAATCCCTTAGCTGCAGTTGAGCTGCCTTATTTGTTTGTGTATCGGGTTTTCCTTTTGGTTTGGATTTACAAGAGGGAGAAGGTATTGGAATAGTATGCACCTGTTTCAACGCGCAAACCGGTCGACACGGATGCCACATATGAAAGAACAACAACGTGGGTAGGAGTTATAATGCAAAATAGATGGATGGATGGATGGATGGATGGATGGATTGGAAGAGAGTGGTAGGGGTGATGGATGGCCTTCTTCCTTTGTTTATTGGGCCTTCTTCTGCCTGCCGTGTGCGCATTTGTGTGTTGTTAGAATTGAGAAACCGCAAATATACCGTGGATAATTATACATAAGGAGACGGCAATCTGCCGGCAGTCATCCTCAACTGATTACCCGGTCAAATCGTAGAATCCACCGTATGTATTATTTTATTCATTGTTCGTGAATTACTCCTTGTTATCATCAATATATTCATAATTTACATTCTTTTGCACCTGGTTTTTCTCTCCCATGGTGGCCATGGTTGATTGGTAATCGTTAAGATTTGGGGTATCGACGAGAATAGATATCTTTTCATTTTGTTGCATCGTTGCCTTGTTGGTGTCCTTTTACTCTTGCGGGAAGTTCAACGTTGCTTTCTAAATTCTCATGGAGTCCATGAATGTGACTCCATTTTCTTCCCATTTTGTTTGTCTACACTCAAATGTGAGGCTTCAGTGCTTCCCCAGAAGAAAAAGTAAACATGGCTTCAATCTAACCGGTCAAAAATGGTGGTTAGAGATTAGTTATCGTACTTTTCGTTCTACCGGTCAAACTCAAAGGCATAATCCGTATATGCTACCCACTTGTTTTACATATGGGTAAACCCTTAATTTGAACCATTCCACTACTAGGAACGATTTTACAATACTTTTTTATCTCATAAAATAATAATGGATCAATTTGAAAATTTATATAGTGCATGGATTCAACTATGTGTTTGAGTTAGTTATATAAGCAGTAATAGGTCATTCCAATAAAAATGTTGAATTAAAAGAAATTATAATTAATAACATTATCTAAACAATTATTCATTTATTTCAAGAAAATCGAACACTTAACGAATAGGAAACATCATAAGTGACCAATGTAGAATCGATCTTTCTCTACCTCATGATTAAGGTAAGAAGACTTTACACCTCCATGGTCTGATTACTTAGCGCATAGGAATATGAATAACAAAATGGGTCAACTACTGAGTCATGTGAGTGATCTCGTGTCACCTACACGGTGAAAATTATGTGATATCTTATTTAGTACATTAAACACTCAATTTATAGCATTAAATAACATCGATGGTAATCTCGTACTAACAATCATACCATTAATTTAACCACTCAATTATCACCCACGATTGTGTCATCACGCAGTAAACAAATTGATATAAATGCATGTGTGCAGACTTCTCAGTTAATATTATTAATTGTGTGCAATGATCACCATACACCAATCCTCACTTGAGCCGATCATAATCATAATTGGTCTACTTAAATCATACTCATCTCCAAGAAAAATCTCGCTAATCTACCCAAATTCCATACATTTTGGACTAGGTATAAGCTACTTCTACATTTAGATAATTGTAATGAACCCCAACAATCTCGCTAATTTACCATTTAAATCATTTTATCACAACAGCTAGCAATTAATCCACGAAAATTACACAGTCAACATATCTAACCACGATTGAACTGTTCTCGTGAGAGTGTCGTGACCAAAAAATAATTTATTAGTTAATGATTAGTTAAAACTTAAAATTGAGAATGACTCAACAATAAAGCAGTTGAAAACAAGTGGAGCAAGACTAAGAAGTAAGAACCATACTGTATCATATGACTTGTATATAGAAAAGGTTGAAATAAATCTAGTTGTAAATGTCAAATCAAAATTTACAATATCATATAAACCGACATATTTATCAATATCCCGCATAGTTGTCATTCCTACCCACATATTCCATTAGCTTGTTTTGTTAGAATAATACATCAGAATAGATTTTCTCGCGAGACAATCATAAGTAGTGATGATGCCATACTATTTAATTAGCTAAAATAGCAGTTCAGAATTCGGAAGGATGATAGTGGAGAATTTTGGATATTGTCAAATATGTTTTTGATGGCCTCACTTCCAATTTCCTGAAGTCCTAAGAACGAACGTGCTAGCATTTCCCATAAAAAGATGACACAAACATCAGATTTTGCGTTCAATAGATCATGGGCTCGTTTTAATGTGTTATGCACTTCTGCTTTTCTAGCGGATTGTTTTTCTTTTTCTTTGAGTTATTTAATTTTCTCACATGATACGTTATTACTTATTTGGGTGCCATAGAATAGTATATTATTGTTCACTAGTATGTTTATAAGAGTTATAAGATAGAAATATGGTGACGTGTAAAAACCAGTAGTGATATTCTTCCAAAATACCAAAGTTACTACAAGGATTATCACCATATATCATACCTTATATAAAAAATTTCCAGAATAGTTACAATTTTTTTTCCCCAGAATACACAAGTTTGGACTAGATCGCTGCTCATCCCAACAATTTCATAATTGCATCGATAAATAAAAGCAATCAAGGAGGATCGTCAATATCGAAGCGATCCAAAACTTGATCACTTAAATTTAAAGTGATTTGCATTGTTCATGCTAGAAGCATGCAATCCGTGCAAACAAAACAACGTGGATCGCTCCAATGTAGCGTGATGTAGAAAGTGTGGCGGCTAGTCGCACAACACAGAGGCAATCTATGAGGAAGTGTTCTGATTGGCCTATTCTTGGAATACGGACCCTGAATCGTATCTAACTATATTTCTCAACTAATGGCCAAGTATAACCATCAATCGGGTGCAATTTAAGATAAGTAAGTTTAATTTATCAACCCAGGAGCTAAGTCTACTACTACTCTGTGAACTAATTGTTATCTAGGTAACATGATGTAGTTTTTATTAAACAACTAAGCAATTAAAGCAAGAATGATGTGAATTCGACTAAGAGAAGGTCACTCGGGCATGCTTCCTTCTAACCATAATGTAGTAAAGTTTGATTTCCCCTAGCATGTTCACTGTAAAACTATACCGCTAAGAGTTATAAACTGGCTTGGATTCTCTATACGAGCAATCCAAGCGCACTTAGATGAGCTATCTAGATGGAGAGTTTCCTCATCCAGTATAGAACACATAAGGCAAGCAAATAGACTCCCTCTAAAATATCTCAATCTAATATAACGTTATAGACTAGCTCACAATCGTGATACTGACCCACAACAAAGCATTGAAGATGCTCTAATCAACCTAATCATATATTCTCTTTCTTAGTTCAATAGCTCAAATTGAAGAGTGTGATCAATACCCAATCAATCTCATGATAAATACGTCAAATTAATATATAGAATGAGTACCAAGCATAGGATTCATTAAGCCTCAAATTCTAACATACATGGCTAGAAAATCTAAACACCCAAGTGGAGTCTACACCATAGTGAACGGAAGAGAGGGAAATACAAGCACAAGAAGAGAATCATCTTATGGAAGTGAGTTCTTGATCTTGAACTCCAATCTTCACTCCCAAGTGAGGTTGGAAGACTCCAATCCCCTTCTAGAGCTCCTCCTTTGTCAATTTCTCTCTCTATAAAGTTGTTGCTCTCACTTCTCTGTAAAATTTGTCTCCCTTTTCACAAGTGACTTCAGATCTAACATATACCTAGAAGTTCATGTGTCATGGTTTCAAGTCACAGTTGTGACTTTCGACAGATACTGTGACATCGACCGAAAACAAGTCGTATCAATTGCATAGGTCACGGTTGTATTGCCCATGTCACAATTGAGACCGTGGCATATGTTGTCCAGCCTTGACATTTTTTATATCTTCTGGTAGTGTGCCTGATGTCACAAATTTTTTGTTATATGTCACGGTTGAAATCGTGACATCTACAACACCCACGACAGCTGAAAACGCTCCCAGAAGTCTATCCAAAGTCACGGTCTCTTTTGCAAATGTAAGGGATAGAGCTGTGACATATGTCCTCTGAACCATGACATGTGTCACCATGTTGTCATTGTCCTGGTTTCACCTCCAAATGGTCCAACAATCATTCCAAGCACAACCTAGCGTGAAACAAGTTGGATAATGTCAAGCCAAATGATCAAGGATTGAGAATTTAAACATGTATAATTAAGTTCGAATCAAACTCCTCCACACTTAACTATTTGCTTGTCTTCAAGCAAACCTATCTCAAACAGGTGCAACTTACTAAGTCTATTAAAAACATTTGAGGTCAATAGGAAATAAGAAATATCTCAACTACCTGAGTGAGAAACACAATCTCGATTTAGGACCTTGCCGAATAGTGGAGCTAAAACAAGTGACTTGTGAATGAAGGAAATCTAAAAATGTTTCAAAACTATGGATTCGTTTGTGATGATCCTACGTTAAATGGCTCAAACTTCAAGCATTTATTTAACTTTGTCGCTCATAGCAACTCACCTACTGTTTCAAAAATCCAAGTACTTTATCTCATGGCTAGAGCATAAGTGACATCCACTCCTCTATCTAGCCCATGCGGAGAAAGAGGTGTAAAGTGCGGAATGGAAGGTATTAAGAGAAGGTTTGGATGCATGATCCTAGACTCACTTTACACAAGATTTCCCAAAGTGCACTCCCATCCTTAGGTTCAATCTATTGTGATCAGCCTAAGTTAACGGGTTGCCACAACATGTGAGATCTTTCAAGAGTAGAGATCTCTCGACTTGAGCAAAAGAAATTTTCTATTCTCTATCAAGTCTCGTGAAGAGGAGAGGTGTAAAGAAGGACAAAGAGTATTGGGTGAAGGTTCATAAATAATATCCTTGTCTTCTTTACACATCGTCATAGCGCAAACCGATTCTGGATAAACCCTTCGGTGAATTTACTTAGCACTTTGTCTAGTTGCCACAACACATGAGACACTCTTTAACACATTTAAGCACATATGTTCAAACATGGAGCACCTTTTTGCAAAACATTTTGATACATATGGGTTGAGAGTAACTGACACTATAAAAGTCAAGCGTCCTAACACCACTAATCAACAAAATCAACCAACATAAGGTGAGGTGGAGGTTAGATTTCTCATAGACCAACATCCTTCATAGTGCTACACTATCCTCCCTATATCACACCCTATCATGATGTTTAGCAATTCAAAGCACAATGAGTAGAAGAATCCATGAAACAAGGTGTTTGGAAATACCACATTTAGAAGCCCATTTACTCCGAAATTTAGACAAAAATGGAATTGTTATGTTGGGATCTTGGGTCGAGACAGGTGATATTTTAGTAGGTAAATTAA